AAATTATACTTACTTCTTTTGCGAATGAGTAAAACCGCTGCTATTATACCCAATAATAGGAACATCGAAAGGCAGACAGGAAGTAGCACTTTAAAATTCGCGTAGAAGGGTCCATCGCTCATATGGGACACTGGATTTGCGTGATCTGTTGTGTAGATAACTAAAAGGAAATATTCAGTATGTTGAAGTAATAAATACACACAAATATGCACCTCCTTGCGGTGAAAGTGTAGTAAAGTTGTATACTGCCGTGGTAGACCCAGCATTATTATGAGACGTAACTTTTAATTGATATTTTGTACCAGGAACTAAATCACTAACCGTATAGATGCGTTCTGTCGGAGGAATATGGTTTGAAACGACATTCCATTGTGATCTGTAAATTGAAATTTTGAAGTCATTCAAATGGTAATAGTAGGTTTATTCGCGTATTGATAGTTTTTGATAACCATCAAAAACTATAAGATTTTCCTGTTCGCGTACACAAAAATCCAGCAAAGTAGGGGAAATTGAGAGACCAAATTGACATTTCATTCTGATGAAAAGCTGCTAGTTTGTGCTGGAAAATTTTTGCCAGCAGCCATTTGCCAGCAAGAAAAACAGCTGACCAAAGTCATCTGTTTTCAATTTATGAAAATATGGAAATTTATTTTAGATTAGAATTTAGATTTATTATCATGATTTTTAAGTTTGAAATAACTTATTAGAACTGCAAATGTACCGGAAGAAAGCAAATACTCATTTACTCATGTTTGATTAGCAAATTGCTTTAGGAGAACTTTTAATCTATACTATATATAAAACTAAAACCCAAGTTTTAAAATAGCATATTTCTACCACAATAGGACACAGTGGTATTTTTAAAATGAAATTTTAATAATAAGTATGTTTAATTAAAGTATTAAGTTGATCAACAATACCACGCATTGCTAGACCGTTTGCCTTTCATGCGTTTGTGTTTAGAGAGCATCAACAAACCACATACATATTTCTCTCTATTTTCTTCTCTTTTTATACTCAGCTAGCACAGCGCAAAAATAAAAAAAAAACCTTTGGCAGCTTCAGGCGTGCGCAAAGCGAAATTTATGTACAAACAGCTCTGCGCCCAAAGCGAAATTAATGTACATATGTATGTACAAGCAGCGCTGCGTTCAAAACAAACAAAAATTGTACATCGTGTACAGGGTTGCCACTTTGATAAATTATTACCAAAATTGGTAGCAAAAATTTGGATTGGTCGTAATGTAAATTTTTGTTCATTTTGGTAGATTTTTGTTAAAGTATTTTGTTTGAAAAACAAATAAAACTTTACGTTCCCGCTTTATTTCTCGCGGTTATCTTTATATTATACATTTCTTTCTACATTGTTTGTTATACTAAACTTCCATCGACTATAAAACTGCATACCCAAAAAAATTCAGATTAAAAAACTCGAAATTCAGACAAAAATTTTTGTAATTTTTCTTTATATAACTTTGTTCGGAGCAGCAGCGGATAAGCCAGCAACATAAAATATGTTTATCAAAATCAATATGAATAATGTTATTTGATCACACTAAAATTTTCATACTCATTTGAGCCGCATATTTACCTATATGTATTTAAACTGTGCTAATTTTGTTTCCCCTTTATACTTGGGCAATTCACAAGGTGTTGTGAAGTTATATTTTCCTAACAAAAGTTGTGTTAAAACACGACGGTTGTGAACACCTGTTACGATTATTTATTATATCTCAGCACTCAACCTCACATAACACCGAATAAACATAGGTTGCAGAGTTGTATCGTCATGTGTTATTTTTCTTCACAAAACAATAACAACATTTTTACAACAGTCATGAAATATCATGACTTCACGACAAACACGACAAATACGACACCTTGTGAATTGCACAATTATGTATTAAGCATATGTATATACATACATATATGTATGTGCATACGTACCGCCCCCACTCAGTTGGATACATTCGTATGCAAGCAAGCGAAAAATATGTACATATGTATTAGGGCTGTTGCGAATGTGGAATTTTAGACATCCGCGTATGCGAATGCGCATGTTAAAAATTTTAACAAAGTTCTGGTTTCAGAGTCGTGGCTGCCAGCCGAATCGGATCAGAAATTAGTTATTCTTTATAACCATTTTAATTATTGGAATAACGGCTGATGAGGGTCTCAGATAGTTACGTAATTCTTACCTCATCAAAGGTCAGACTTATAGCTTTTTAATTATTTCAGCTTAGATTCTCTTTATAGCCAAACGTTGACCATTTCTGCTGGAAATCCCCATTGAACGAGCATACTCTTTGACTTTAACAGATCTATTCTGCACGTTACCAAACAAAAAATGTTACCAGTTCTTGTCACCGCGGTTCTAGGAACGTTGGTAATGCAGTTAAAATAATCAGCAATTCAGCTATGAAGAATTGTAGAAATACTGGCATTGTATATTTCATGGGGCAATACTTTGTTACCAGCTTATGAGATGGTAATAAAATTCACCGCATACAAGAGTACACAGAATTCGAAAAGGGTTTAAAATTTGACAGGAACTTGATTTACCGGTTACAAAACTTTTATTACCAGCACAGAATAGATCTGTAAATAGCAAAGAGGAAGACGTAGGGGGGAAGTTTTACCACATAAGTTTTTAGCTAAGGAACCAAAGTGTATCCCTATGAAAAAAGTATTGCCCGACAAATAAACAAAATTACTGTTTTTGAAATGTTTGCTAAAAATAAATTCCCCAAAGAGCCCAATTTGAAATGGTTTAAACGAATATATGTAAAATCAAAAGCAAATCATGAAAATTTGGTTTAAAATTACAGTGCACACTTTCTTCTTTTGTGTCTAGTAGTTTTTTTTTTTAAAGATTGGTCCAAAAAAATCATAATAAAGAAAGAAACCAATGCAGGTACTTAAAGCACAAAAAAAATATATTATTAAATGACAATGTTCTCTTTGGCGTACGTGAAAGGTAAAGTAGAAGTGGGAACTTGTATGACTGCCCATTGATAGCTCGGTTATAAAGCTTAAGAAATAAAATGTTTAGAGACACTTTGATAAATATGACCAGAGGCAAAAAATATTGGCTACAATTTGTCACTTTGTTCGCCAAATATACGTTTTATCGGTGCGCTTTCACAACATTCGCATTCGCAAAAGCTCCGCATTGATTATTGCGAGTGTTAAAATTACTGCGGAAGCTCCGCGGTTGCGAATGCGAATGCGAATATTCGCAACATCCCTGATATGTATGTAGGCAATACTGTGTGCGCGGGTGCATACGTACATAAATATATACCTATATGTAAATTCTCATGCATTTAAGAAAACTGGTTTTATATTTTTGGTGATGAATTTGCAGTTACCCAATGGAATTAGGACATACATAAATAGTTCAAGGTGAACTTTCTTTGAGTTAGTCGTGGACCGAAATTTGTCAAATACAGTTGCTTAGCTTATGCATAAATCATTTGTTTTATTTTAATAGCTGTTAAAAAGGCTTAGTAGCTCAACATTTGGTGACCCCGGCGTGATCGTATCACGCGATTTTTCGTTATTTTAAATCCGTTATCAAAACGCATAGAAATTTCAGGAATTTCCTTCACACGGACAGAGATTGTGGACTATTTGCAAAACAGTTTTTTTTCGTCGTACAGTTTTGTTACCGGCCCCTTACTGAGATAATTTTTCCACACTAGTGTAAAAGTCAGCAGCTTCGTCATGCCAGGGGAAGATGCAGATCGAGTAGCCTTTCTAAAGCTGAAAACAAAGGCTATATTCAGCAGACTGGAGAGCTTGGTTAACGAGTTGGACTCAGACAAGGTACACAGTATGGATGAGTACAATCTTTCAGCAATGCAAGAATCCTTAGGCGAATTGAAATCCAGTTTTCTGCCGCACACACAAGCCTAGAGGAATTGAACTTCGACTCCATTGCCAGCGACCTGTCAAGTAATTTCGATGCTGCTCTAATCAACCTTAGACCTACACTGCAACGGGAGATTGGTAAACGTAGTGCCTCGCAACATTGCTCCACGCTCAAAATGAACTCCAGTGAGGCCCAATTAATCATTGTGAACGCTAATAGCTCACGCTTACCATTGCTTACGCTGCCTAAATTCAGTGGCGCCTACACCGAGTGGACAAATTTCTATTCAATGTTCACGTCAATAATCGACAAGTACAGCGACCTCACCAACATAGACAAATTGCAGCATCTTCGTTCCTGTCTGAGCGGCGCTGCTCTCGACACCGTGTGCTCGCTCGAAATAAACGACGCTAATTATAAGACTGCATTAGATCTTTTACAAAAGCGCTTCGATAATAACCGTCTTAGATTTCAGGCACACGTCAGGGAGATATTTGGGCTAGAGAGGACAGATTCAAACGTAACCCAGCTACGAGAGCTGACAGATAAGGTCACAGCACACATACGCGCATTGCAGTCGCTCGCATCCAATGGGAAGATCGCAGATGGCATCATCGTACAATTGGTGATCCAGAAACTCCACAAAAAGACGCAGGCTAAATGGGAGGAGAGTTCATCGATCAGCGAACTGCCATCTTGGGATCAATGAGCTACTTTTTTGGAGAAGCGCTGCAGAACACTCGAGAACGTTGAGCATTCTATGCAGGCACCGACTGGTCAGGCGGTAAAAGCTAACAAGAACGTGAGTACTGGTCAAAGGAAACCCATTGTTGCTTCCAAATGCTCAACTGGTGTTTGTGTGTTTTGTGGATCTGCCGAGTATGAAATTTATAGCTGTCAACGCTTCGCAAACTTCTCTCCGAACTTACGCCTAAGGGAAGTTAAGAAGCTTTCCCTTTGTCTTAACTGCCTAAAGACTGGCCATCAAATTCGAGACTGCAAATCCAGATCGTGCCGCACCTGTCAGTCGAAACACCACACGCTCTTGTATTTCGAACGCTCAACTGCATCGTTAATCAATAGTCAAGCCGAAGCTTCGTCGGCAGCTACAGTTCAATCCAACGCTATGACTGCACCGTTATCTGTTTCGCCTAGCGCCCCAGTATCTCCTTCTGATGCTGTGCTCTTACCTACTGCCGTCATTCTGGTAAAAAATCGTGCTGGAACCTTCGTGCCTTGCAGGGCGCTCTTAGATTCTGGCTCCCAGTTACACTTTGTCACAACTCGCCTCGCAAACCAATTGCAGCTTGTAAAAACAAAATCTTCTGCTACAGTATCTGGCATTGGAGATGCCAATTTCTCAACGGAGGGTTACTCAGTCGACCTCGTACTGAAGTCGCGGACTTCAGATTTCTCAACAAACATAACAGCTGTTGTTGTGCATAACCGACAATCAGCCTGGCTGCTCCGTGAATGTTCCGTCGAATATACAACTAGCTGATCCTGGGTTAAACTTACCGCAGCGAATTGATCTGCTCATCGGAGCAGCACTGTTCTTCGATCTGCTATGTGTGGGGCAGATACGCTTGGCATCTGGTTTACCACTGCTTCAGAAAACACGTCTCGGATGGGTGCTCTCTGGAGGTGGGCAACAAGCTCCAACACTATCATCATTTGTGGTGCGACGGAAGTCCTCCAGTGATATCATTGCACTCGGTTGGAAGATTTAGTGCGTCAGTTCTGGGAAATCGAGCACAACTTCGAGCCGATCTCTAAGGCTTACCAAGAAGATCTCGACTGCGAAGCCCACTTCCGGGAAAATTATTCGCGATTGTCATCAGGCGAATACTCAGTTCGTCTGCCCATGAAGCGCGGTGTGGAGGCCCTTGGAGACTCCTATTTGCAAGCTCGTCAACGCTTCAAAAGTCTTGAATGAAAATACGCTCGTAACCCTGATCTTAAAACAGAATATAGTACATTCATAAAGGAATATCTGGACCTTAATCACAAGTCGCTAGTCACCAACGAGGTTTTTCAACAATGCAAGTATTTTCTGCCGCATCATTGCAACATCAAGGATCACAGTAGCACAACAAAGCTGAGAGTGGTATTTGATGGCTCTGCATCCACTACTTCGGGCTTTTCGCTGAACGACCTACTCATGGCAGGCCCAACTATTCAGCCGAAACTTTTTAATATTCTTATTAGGTTTCGCACTTTTCACATAGCACTTACTGGGGACATCTGTAAGATGTATAGGTGTGTTCGCGTCACCCCACCGGATAACATGTTCCAATGCATATTGTGGCGTGAGTCTCCTCAAGAAAACTTTCGCATCTATAAGCTAGACACGCTGACTTATGGAACTAAGCCTGCCTCATTTCTGGCCCTACGAGCCATGCACCAACTCGCAGCTGACGAATCCTCGACTTATCCTATTGGTGTAGAAACAGTGCGTCGAGACTTCTACGTAGATGACTTGATATCTGGAGGCGATTCGATGGAAGAGGTACAGAATATCAAACCGCAAACAACTAGCCTCCTTGCTCGAGGAAACTTTAAGTTACGCAAGTGGTGCTATAATAGTCCAGATATCCTTCGTGATATTCCTGACATAGACAAGGAAAGTTTCCTTAAGTTTGACGATGGTAGTGACATCACCAAAGCTCTGGGACTAGTTTGGGATCCGGTCAAGGACAAGCTGCTATTTTTGTTTGTGCCACAACGAGAACTCGGTAAAAACTCAAAACGCTCTGCCTTGTCTACTCTAGCTCGCTGTTACGATCCCCTTGGACTAATGGGCCCTACGCTGACCAAGGCGAAAATTCTTCTGCAACACATGTGGAGAGACAAGCCTGAGTGGGATGAGAGTCTACCGCAATCGTTAAACACCGCCTGGTCTGCCTTTTGCAACGGGTTTGCAGACATACAGCATCTATCATTTCCTCGTTACGCCTTGCAACCTGGGACCATTACAGAAATTCATGCATTTTGTGATGCAAGCCTTGAAGCTTATAGGGCTTGCGTTTATACGCGTTCAGCCAAGGATAGCAAGGTACAAGTGCACCTGTTGTGTTCGAAGGCTCGAGTCGCTCCACTGAAGACTATTACCGTGCCAAAGCTGGAACTCTGTGCCGCAACACTGCTTGCACAACTCTTGGGTGAGTTTACAAAAATGAAGATTTTTAACTGTTCATTTCATTGTTGGTCAGATTCCTCCACTGTCCTCTCGTGGGTGCGAGAAGAACCATCAAAATTTAACGTGTTCGTCGCTAACCGAATTTCCACCATACATCAATTAACGGAGGGCATGCGGTGGCACTATGTTCCGACAGAAATGAATCCGGCTGGCATTTTATCCAAAGGAGCTACCCCCCAGGAACTTCTAGGATCTTCACTTTGGATGCACGGCCCGTCATTTTTGCGTGCAGTGGAGGCCAGTTGGCCGCGCATGTGTCTGTCACAACCAAAACTTCCAGAACTTCGACAAAAGGTGTTGCTTGCCGCACATGACCGCAATGACATTTCGCTTTCTTAAAAGTACATTAATTCATTTCGAACAATGCAGCTCATTTTTGGGTACGTCAGCAAATTTGTCAACATCAAAAAATCGCCAAGGTCTTCGCAGCTCACAGCCGCAGATATTCACCATGGAACTCAACTGCTTATTCGCTTAGTACAAAGAGCGCAACTTTGGCCGGAGTACACTGCATTGCAGGCCAATAATTGCGTCCCGAGTTCGAGCAGCATTGTTTCTCTATCACCATTTCTTGATGGCTTCGTAATTAATAGAGTCGGTGGTCGATTAAAAAATTCGATGCTTAGCTTTGAATCGCGCCACCCATGCATTATTCCGAAGGATCATCCACTGACATGTAGTATAATAACCTTTTTTCATCGCAAACAAAAATGCAAAATGTCCTACAAAAATGCATTATTTGCTGCAAATCTAGACCGCGCCTTGTCGAGCACATAATGGCCGATCTGCCTAAAGAGCGAATTCAGGCCTCGCGCCCATTCATAGTCACCGGTGTGGACTACTGCGGGCCATTTTATTACAAGCCTGAAGTACACAATAAATCGCCCCAAAAATGTTATGTAAGCGTTTTCATATGCTTCGCCACAAAGGCTGTATGGATAGAGTTGGTGAGAGACCTCTCAACAGGTGCATTCATTGACACGCTAAAACGATTCATCGCTACGCGTGGCATACCCAGCTGCATCTGGTCGGACAATGCGACGAATTTTGTAGGCGCCAAGAACGAGCTTAAAGAACTACGGAAGGCTAACTTCAGCGAGAAACACCGCAGTCCATAACTTTTGCCTCAGTAATGGCTTTGATTGGCGTTTCATCCCACCCCGCTCTCCGTACTTTGGCGGTTTGTGGGAAGCGGCCGTTAAAACAGCCAAACAACATTTCTATCGTTCCGTTGGCTCATCACTGCTTGGCTTCGATGAATTGCGTACTTTGGTATGTCAAATCTGTGCTGTAATTAACTCTCGTCCTCTCGTACCCCTTTCAGAAAACCCAGAGGATTTACATGTGCTAACGCCAGGCCATTTTTTGATTGGTAGTTCTCTGACAGTCTTCCGGAACCGGATCTAACGACGTTAAACTACGACCGACTTGATCGATGGCAGCGTGCAACATACATTAAACAGGTTTTTTGGAAGCGGTGGACTCAAGAGTATCTAACTCTTCTACAGCAACGCGCAAAGTGGCGTTTACCTCATGCCAACATTGAAGTCAATGATGTCGTATGCATAAAGGAAGAAAACTCACCCCCACTGAAGTTGCCTCTTTCAAATGGCTGGTAAATATTTTTTTTAGTCAATGGCAACCCTGATCGTGTATTTCGGCACATCGGCACATGCTCACTGTAAGCTTCTTGGTGTGGCATACATACATTCATCTTCAGCTTTTCCTTGATTTCATAAAGATGAAGTTGGTGAAAAAAAGTGGCCGCTGCGCATCAGAAACGTACTTTTACATCGCTGAAGTAGCACGCAGTTCTACACAAAACAAAACTCAACAATGTTGGTTCAACAGATCAACATTCAATCAATTGAGTTAGGCACGGTGCACATTAGAGCGATACGATATGCGATGCGATATGCCATACGATACGCGATGCGATATGAAATGCGCGCAGTGCACATTAGAGCGATGCGATACGCGATGCGACACGCGATACCATTTTGTGATAGCTACACAAACATTTAAGCCCTTATAAGCTTGTAAATGAGTTGCTTCTCAACCGAGTTTAGACCTTTCGAATGATGGGTCTATGTTTATATCTATAAACTTTTAAAAAATTTAAGAGAAAAGTATGTTTAATATCGAGTAAAACTGATGTTTTATTTTACAAAGTCGGCTAAAAATTATATGAGATATTCAAATGTTCATGACAAATTATTTTACAGAATATTGCGTTCTCTACAAGGAGAAATCGGTGAAAGTTGAATTAAAAAAAAGGTTAACCAAAAATTTGGCAGTTATATAGCCAAAAATATTATTTTCCTCATGAAAGGTTGAATAACTTAGTCAGATTTCCCCCGGTTTTTTAAAGTAAAAATCACTTTATATCAAATGTTAATATTGCATCAATTCAGGAGTAGTATAGTTGCTTTACAAAATAGTGCGTAAAAACTTTGCTAAATTTGAAAAAAGACGAAAGAATTAACACAGAAAATACACACAGATCTCTTAAGTTTTCTGAAACTTTATATACATATATCATTCGAAAGGTCTAAACTCGGTTTATAGTCAACTGAGTTGCAAGCTTATAAGTGCGGAAAACCGGTTTTTAACAGTAAATCAAGATTGTGTGGGTGTTTGACAAAAATTTCGTATCTCGATTCTTACTTCACTCGGTAAAACCTACCTGAAAAATGATAACATGACTTACCAGGTATTTTTACTTCATTATATTTTGTAGCATTGTGTAATAGAGCACACAAATTTGTAATTTCTCTCTTTAATTTAAAAACTTCTTAAATATAATAAAATAACACTCAAGAAAAAAACATATAAAAATATAACGAATAATCAAAAATAATTACCTACATACATACATCATTTTTTAGTATTTGTTATCATATCTGATTTCTTCTTTTATTGGTAAATGAGATGATTATTCCTTAATTGTTTCTAATTATACTGATTACTAATTATTTGAATATTTGAAACAAAATACTTAATCATTAACATTAAAACAAACACCAAATCTTTTTTGCTATTCAAAATCAAAAATAAATAGGTTTAAAATTATTGGGTTCTTTAAAGTTCTTTTTAAAGATGTGAAAACAAAGGTAAATAAACCATCACAAAAAATATTATTTTGTCCATTTACCTGTTTCCTTGACCTCAGTCGTTTTTTTGTCTGTATAGTTTCATAAACATGGGTTTTTTTTATAAATTCGACTAAAAAATTTAGGAAGATGCTTCCGCCTGTGAAATGGTCATGCTTATTGCAAAAAATACCGAGCTATGCTAGTCTCACCTCGTTCAGAAAACCGTGTCGCACGTGCGATACGCATGCAATATTATATCGCAGCGGTGTCGCACGCGATACGCATGCGATATTATATCGCAGCGGTGTCGCTGTCGTGCAAGTGTGCACAGTTAGGGACACGATATCGAACAGAAAGTATCGATATGGTACTCATTTAAAGTATCGCTTTAAAAATATCGGGTACCCATTAATATCGGAATAAAAAGACTCGATATTCCAAATATCGATACCAAAATCCAAAAAATGTATATGAATATAGGTCTCGTATATAGGGCGCTGTAGTGTAATGATTAGAAGTGCTCAAAACTTGAAAATGAAAAACGGCTTCCCATTAAAAAAAAACCGCCGTTCAAAGTCGACATAAAACTGTAGGGATCCCTTTTGTGCTACAACATTAATAGCCCGAAGACAATGAAAACGACGAGGTATGGACCATAGCTGTCAAATTATTTTAACACGTACTCTTATGTAGATAATTATTTTGGCGCGGACCGGGCTACGCGACGACTGTGGTTGTGGCCAGATTAGATCTATTTCTATTTTTCCAGCGACAGATAAGGTTCTTCCTCTTCTTTTATGTCAAACCCGTACAAATTCATGATGTCGCCGACGCATTCAAAAAAATCATGTCGCCATCGACAAAAGCGTTTAGACAATGAAGATAACAAATTGGAAGCTGTGGCCCGTAGCTCGTCGTTTTTAATGTGTTCAGAACTTAAGGCGCACTTTACTAATCGGAGGAGAATCTCGGTCAAACACTAACATATTGTGTAACACGTAGAGATTGAGGTGTTGTCTTAAAACACCGAAGTCGCGGGTTCAAATTCCACCACATGCAATCCTAACTATATTACACATTTCTGCTCTTAAAAGCCCAATTTATATCGGGAAGAATTGTTAATAACATTATCCTTGTAATGTGAGTGTTGCGAAGACATTAATAGTAATACGAACCTTGCTATAAAATTAAGGTTAAGTGAAAAAACCGCGTGTCTTTTCTTTAAAAATTCAGAATTCAAGAGAGTTTATTACAAAAAATACAATTCTCAGTTGTCATTACAGGGTTGCAAAAGTTGTAACGACTTTCTCCAAAAGGGCTGCTTAAACGATCAAAGGATAAAGAGTAGGTGCATGCACTTCAGCAGTTCTGCATACCTTGCTACGCTACAGCTTGGATCAGGGCAATGGGCGTGGGCTTGCGTCCGTACATACAGCGAAAGTCTTACAAAAATAATCAATAAGTATGTAGATATAGGGAGAAATTGAACGTAAAGAAACCGGCCTACGAAACCAAATGAAGCAGCAAAATCAATTAAGGCGGAAAATGTCCAAGAAAACGCAAAAAAAAAGTGATACCCTACAACCA